CTTACGTCAGATGCTGGAATGTAAGAATACTTAGATGCCGAGAGTCAGGCACTAAGGATTCGTGCGCTGCATGACTATCAGCTGGATATTACATGCCTATCAGAAGTGAGATTGCAGGGCTCCGGCTACAAAAGCATCAAAATCTCTGGTATCAATAGCCAATACTGGCTGTATCACAGCAGCAACGAAAGGCCGGGTTAGCATGGAGTGGCACTTTCTTGAAGTCATCGGGCTAATAGTGCTTTACTTTCCAGGAAACCAATATCCTTCAGGATTGCCGTAGCATGACTCAAGGGTCATCCAGTAAACCTCACAGTAATCGCTGTCTACGCTCCAACTCACCCATCTGACAACAATGTTAGGGATGAGTTCTCTAGCAGCCTTCAATTGCTAGTTAATGAATTACCTAAACAGGACGTACTTGTCATAGCAGGGGACTGGAACGCTCAAACTGACCCACAAGAAGAGAACATGAAGCACATCTTAGGGAGATTTGGCCTGGGCGAGCGCTGCGAGAACGGTGACAGACTACTCAGCTTCGCTTATTATAATCGATTGTGTATTACCAACACGCGGTTTCAACGTCCAGAAAAGCATCTTCCAACGTGATACTCCAACGACGGCCGAACAGCACATCAAATAGATTACGTTCTCATCCGTTCACGATGGGTTTCTTCGATTGAAGACTGTCGATCCTATCGCGGGGCTGAATGCGGAAACAAAAGCGGATATGGATGACGTTATAGTTCGCTTGAAATTTGGACTCCATCTAAAAACTCTCAAGAACACCGTCTCTTCAAAACGCTTAAATGTGCTTCCACTGAAGAACAGCGAGAAATACCAGAAACTGATGGGAATGATACCTGCACAGCTGTCAAACGATCCCCTCGGTACGCATGGAAACACCGGAAGTTCGGTTGAAACTCAGTGGACCAGGATGAAGTCGTCGGTACAACAAGCCGCTCTACACGCACGAGGCACTGGATCACGTCGTCTGAAGGATTGGATATCCAACCACATCATCCAGTTAGCTAAAGCAGCTAGAGAGGCACGCCTGGCTCAATCCTCTGCTTATCGCGATCTCAGACGACAAGCAACACAATCGGCCAGAAACGATGGATGCAACTACTGAAATTAAATGGCTAAAAAATGGAGACAGCAACCAACCTGGGAAACACGGCCACCATCTTCCGACTTATTCGATCAGCATCGAGAAAGAATCAGTTCACCAACTCTGTGCTGCGCAGCGCATCCGGTAAGCACATCTCCGATGCGCAGGGAAAAATGTCTTCGTGGGTGGAACACTTTAGTTTTCTTCTCAATCGCCCTCAAATCCAACTTCTCCATACCAATCTAACTGCACCCCGCGATCAGTAGAAGAAGTCTCAAATATTATCAGTCATCTCAAGTCACGGAAAGCCCCCGGTGAGGACGGGATACACGCCGAAATCTACGCAAAGTGTGCTTCAGCCATTTCAAACCCCCTTCATAGCTTACTGTGTGTAATCTGGGATACCAAAATTTGCCCAATTGACTGGAACATATCGATTTTACTACCTTTCCCTAAAAAGGGTGACAAATCAGTATGCGAAAACTACAGAGACATCAGCTCACTTGACGTGGCGGCCAAGGTTTTTGCACAACTTTTGCAGCAGGGCGCACACGCACCCGTCCTGACCAGAGGGGATTCCGCCCCGGTGTTGGCTGCGTCGACCAAATATTGACTCTACGTCGATTCTTGGAACATCGCCACAAGTTTCAACAACCCACAGCAGTCTGCCACATTAATTTTCGTGCGGCATTCGACTCCGTAGATCGCGAATCCCTCTGGAACTTGTCAACTTATTGAGATCTTACTATTCTAACAATAGCCCCGGAATCCATGTCTACGAAGGGGAATCTTACCCTTCCGGGTTAGGATCTGGAGTGCGACAGGGGTGCCCATTATCCCCAATGCTGTTCAACTTTGCCGCTGATTGGATAATGGGTCGTTCGATGGAAGGATACCAGGGAGTTCAGATCTCTCGGAACTTATGGCTCACCGACATAGCATTCATGGATGATGTTGTCGTCTTTGGCGCGGACATGTCTAACCTCCAAGTAATCGTTGACCGCATCAGTCGACAGGCCTCCGAGATCGGCCTAGAGGTGAACACATCAAAAACTAAAGCCTTTGCAACAGTCCCGATTCATCCCGAAAATGCTTTATTACTAAATGGCGGGCCAATCGAATCCGTCGAAAGCTTCAAATACTTGGGCTCAACCATACTCCTGAACGGCCAAGCTAAAGGCGAGGTGGAGGTGCGCCTCGATGCTGCAAGAAGGGCATTTTTGCAGCTGAAGAATCCCCTTTGGCATAGAAATGAAATCAGTCTCAAGAGGAAAATCCGAGTTTTCTCCGCAACAGTCCGTCCTGTCTTGCTATACGGCTGCGAAACCTGGCCACTTAGAGTCGAAGACTGTCACAGATTAGATGTATTCGATCAACGGTGCTTAAGAATCATTCTGGGAGTACGATAGAGGAATCAACTCTCAAATGAAGCGGTCAGAAACCGATGTTTTAATCGTGTAAGGCTGTGGACGCTAATGCAACGGCAGCGTCTACAATGGTTTTGTCACATTCTTCGTAAGTCCGATAACGACTTGACAAAAGCTGTCTTGACACCACCTTCCTGCCCCAACTGGCGCTGTCGACGCGGTGGACAGCTCAAAACCTGTCTTGACGGGGTACGAAAGG